GGGAAACAATTTAGGAACAAGAGCACCCGTGACGGTGTCCTGAGAACAAGGCAGTTGAGACAAAACCTTTAGTTCTTCCCCCGTTCACTCTGCGTGTGTCGGCCTCTGTGACCCCGGTGCTCCCTGCACCTGAGCGAGTCCGAGGGGGAAACGCAAAGCGAAAGACTTGGAGATCAGGGCCGCTCCCCGCGAGTTCCCGGGGGGCCGGACTGCGCCTCCCTGCGAGCCGGGGAAGGGAAGGGACCGCTGCAGAGCCCCCCTCGGGTGGCTTGGCGAGGGCTGGAGCAGCACTGGGCCCCTGGGGCGCCTCGTGTGCCGGCGGTCCTTGGGAAGGACCTGGGCAGGAGCTTCTGCGTCCCCGCCAGTGCTGTTGTTCCATTTCCTTCCTCTGTGGTAGTGTCTAAGGCTAGGTGTGAGTAGGTGTGGGGTGTTTATCCGCCACAGGTACAGGAGCTGTCGTATACCTCATTTCTAACTCGTAACTGAGTAACTTGCTTTAACTTTCTCCAAACCCCACAGAGTTGCCAAGTCTGCCCTTCCTCCTTTGATTAACACTGAACTCTGGCCTATAGCACCCCGTGACCTGCAACCTGGGGAGGTGACCCCCTAACGCCTCTGAATGTCGCTGCTTAAAAGCTACTGCAAAGTGAGGGCAAATTGCAATCTTATCTTATTTCCTTTGGTTACAAGGGGTCCTCTTGATTAGTCTGTGAATATCCACCCCCTCTCCTCCTCTCTCTGGGGAAAAGGGCCACCCCGCGCTGCCTTTTCCCACCCCGGGGCCACACTGAACTCCAGGGCCCCGAGGCACTCTCAGCCCAGTGCTGCGTACATGCTACTCACTTTTTAACATGACCAAAAAAAAAAAAAAAAAAACAAAAACAAAGGAAAAAAAAATAGAAATCTCCAAATATTTAATTTTCTTCTTTATTATTTGACAATCCTGTATCCCTTCCCCCACTCCCCAACCTGGCCAGAAGCTGCATCCTTAACCCGGTCCATCTTTATTTGAATGTAGTTCCCCTACCCCCATGGGAAAGAGAAGCTTTGTCAGGTCACGGTGGCTGCTATAAGTCGGGAGGGGGCGGTTTCTTTGTTTTGTTTTGTTCTTTTAAAATTTCCAGCCAAAACCAAAGATTTCCTAATGATTGTATAAACTCAAAACAAACAAACAAACCAAAGACAAAGGGCGTCTTCAGCACCAAGCCCATCTGTGAGGCCGGTCTGGCCAGGGCAAGGGTCTCTGCCAGCCCGGGGCTCCGAAACACCCCAGGAAGAAATTCCCTGCTCCAGGGTGAAATCTGGGGCGCAGGCCCTGGGAGGGGGCGGCCCGGGGGGGGGCGGGCTTCGCAGGTGGGTTGAGGAGCTGAAGACTTGGGTGCAGGATTGGCTGCTCTGCTGGGTGCTTTAACCCTCTGGGGGCTGGGTGATGTTGATTAATACACGCTGAGGTGCACTTCTGAGCTTCCCCCCCCCCTTCACTGCTTGGAAGAGGCTGTCCTGTTGTGAGAAATCCCTGAAAGAAGAAGAAGCAGCTTTTCATTTCTCCTCTAGTTCCTTTTTTCTAGATTTCTTTTTATTTTTGCAGCACCACTGTGCAACTATGCATTGTATTTCTCAACCTTTTATGCTAGGTAGATGCCTGTGACTTTTTAACTTTTGGGGGGGGATTGCAAATGGAGGAACTTTTTACATGGATCTTTTTAATCTCAGTTGATTGGGGGGTGTTTGGTTCTAGGGTCATACAAGCTCTATCCCAAAGCAAAATCCAAATGTTAATATTATTAGCCTGATGCAGATACCAAAGATAATTTCTTTCCTGCAGAACCTTAGACTTGTGTATTAAGTACGATTACCCAGCACTTGCATTAGTCTAACCTCAGTAATTCCAAAGCTTAGATGTATATTTTGGTATATTTCTGGGATATTAAAAAATTGTCGTTTAAATTCTTGTTTGTTTCAGTGTAATGCTCTTAAAGTCATAGCATGGAGATAACTGAACTTGTCCTATTCTTAGTAGTTTGAAATAATAGTATTTTTGTATGTTTTGGGTGTGTCTATGTATGTATTAACATAACAGTTTTCACTGCCTAGGTGTTCATAAATAATAAAAAGAAAAAAAACCAACTGCAAAGGGTTTTTAAACTGTACATAATATTCCATGAGGAATTTCCACCAGACCGCCAATTTGGATTGCATTTTCACTGATGGCCGCTCCCAACTGGGATTCTTTCTTTGTTTTTAAAGAGACAGCATGTTCTTTTTTTTTTCCCCCCATTGACCTGAGGTTCTTTCTCAGTGTAAAGGGGTTTTCACTGTTTTTAAGGGATGGGCCAAAGAGGAAGTTGCTTAAATTTTATTTAAAAAAAAATAAAATATTTAACATGTTAGTTTGAAAAGTACCCCTTTGTATGAAGAATTGAGAGTGGAAAACCAAGCCCTTTCTTCTAAATCTGGTTATAGTTTCCAAAGAGATGAAGATTTGTGAATGTCTGGAGCATCTGGGCAGTCCCTTTTTGCTTTTTTTTTTTCCCCTAAATAAGGCAAGTTTTCGGTCCTAATGGTTTCACTGCTCTGTGCAGCTGCCTGCTTACACTGGCTGGGAGGTTGTTTTTTTTTCTCTTGCCCTTCCTCATACACTGCATTTATATACACTTGAGGTCAGCAGAACACTTGAAATCAAGGGCCATGTGGGAGTACCCTACCCAAACCCAACCCAAGCTTTTCTTGAGACTGAAATGTGAGAGTCCCACACATTTCAAAACCTTGCTGATCACACTAAGGGTGAGGAGGAAGGCGAAATGCTGTCTCTTTAAAGATGTCCTTTATAATTATTATTATTATTATTATTATATTATTATTATTATTTTCCCAGTGGTTGCCTACAGATAGCTGTGGGCATTGAGAGATTGTGTAGATTACAGTAAATCAGAATGAAAAGGTAGATTTTGTGTAGATGCATTTGTCTGCTGTAATTTTTTATATATATTAAACTTACTGTAATTGTACAGTTAATTTCTGTTGTAAACATCATTAAACCATTTTCCAAGTGTTTTAACATGTATGCACTTGTTTGTAGTTTTTGAATGTACTGGGGGAGGTGGATTCCCCTTCCCCCCCATGGATCACAGTGGGCCAGAAGATTGGTCCTTCGTGCCCTTTGTCTCAAAGTGGAGGAGACAGAACAGGTTTTTTGCACTCTGCTTGAAGCTTTTCTGCTACTTCTCTTATTTATCAGCTCCTCTCCTAAAAGCAGAAACATCTCCAGTTGCTTCCTGAAGGCAAAGAGGAGACTCAGCTCACACCTATGGCGAGTGTCCCTGAAACAAGTGTTGGATGCTTTTGAGTCAAGATACCCATTTATTTATATATATATATATATATATATATAAAGAGCATAAAGGTGATATTTTTTTCCCCTAGGGAATTTCATTCCTATTGTTTAGTCGTTGGTATTTTATGGCTGCCAGAACTTGTGATTTCTACATCTTGCAGATAGGGTTGTGATTATTTAAAAAGAGAAAACTGTTTTCAGTACTGTTTGTTCTTGCATTGGTGTTTTGTAGTAGTAACTTTACTGTAATTTTCAGGTCAGCTGGCTGAGGTATGACCCACTTCTCTCAGATTTTTCTTGTCATTGCAGAAGAACAGTAAGGGATCTAGGAATTTGGGTTTTTTTTTCCAAGAAATACTCGTTACCATCTCTCAGTTTACTTTTTTTTTGCTCTAATTTATTGGAAATATTCTTTAGAAGCTACAAGCACCTACTGCAGGTACAGTTTTACTGCTGAAGATGTAAAACAACCTTGTCACTTGCACAGCAGCAACTTCAAAAAGTTTTTCTGCTGCTAACCCACCCAGTCCCTGAAAAGAAGACGAGACTTCATCCAGGCAGAACTTTTGTTCCCACAGTCTTGCTTTAGCTCTGCTTCTTCTGTGAAGACTGACAAAATGAGCTGGTCAGCTCCTGACCTGAGGTAAAACAGGATTTGTTTTGCTGGGCTGTTTTTGTCCTTGGCTGAGTTCTTGCAGGTGTCATTGTGCAGCCTTTTAAGTCACAGGCAAAACTGAGGTTGCAGCAGCAGGAGGTGAGTGTCCCTTTTATACTTGGGCTTGGGGCATTTTTCCAAAACCCCATCCCGCTGCTCAGGATGTGTTTAGAAGCTCCTGTTGGAATATTGTCCTCCTCAGCCTCCCTGGGAGATGATGCTGCTGGGTGCAGGTCGGTTCAGCCGGGCTGAACCTGGCAGGTCACGAGCTCAGGCCCTTCTCACAGCTGTTCCCTGCACACACAGGGCTGCCACTGCCTTTATTAATTCATCAAAAGCACATTGCATTATTGACCTAGAACATCTTAGGAATCACACCTGCATCTTTTAGAGGTAACCTGATGATAGACTGGTCTGGAAACTGGATTTACGTTGGCTTTTATACCGTTTCTGTCGCCCAGAAGTGATATATGGGAGTCCATTCTCCTTGTTTTCATTGTAACAGGGGTATCATCTTCTGCCTTTTGAGAAGTCTCTCCTGCAGATTACCTGGCTCATATTTAGCTCCAAGTGCTGGCTGAGTGGCAGTGCCATTGCTTGATCTTTTCTGGGAGCTCACTGCTCATTTTCTTCATGTTGAAATGTTGCCAGTCAGCCTCTGTCCTGCACTACACTAACATCATGTGACTTTTTACAATTAAAGGGAAAAAAAAGTAATCTGGAGCAGTTTTGTAAAAACTGAAGCAGTTTTTTAAAGGCAAATTTAAAGTAAAAAGTGTCAGTCTTAAGATAAATTCCACAGGAAATAACTACAGCCCTATCTTCACAAGTTGTTTAAATGCAATGAAACAATAGTTACATGTCATGATACCCCTGCAAGGCAAGGAAGAGCTGTGGAAACAGCTGTGTTTGTTAGAAGGTGTGGTCTGGTCCCACAACACAAACCTTACCAAAAAAAACCCCAGAAAAACCCCAAAAAGAAAATCAGCCTAATAACCACTATTACTGGAAACAACTTTACAGATATGTACATTTTAATAGCAAAAGCTTTGCAGTTGCATGATTCAGGAGGAAAGGGAGAAGGGACTGGACAACCCCAGACACACTCCCTCTGTGCACCACCCAAAGCAGGTTATTGCACAGAGAAAACACGCAGTGCTTGTGTGGGATGAAAAAGGCTTCCCCTCCTCTCCCCCCCAGAGCCTGTGGGCATCTCTCCTTTTTGCCCATCCCCTCTGTGACTCCCACTTAGCGGGGGGGCAAAGCCTGCATTTGAAGAGCGTCGTAAGTGTCCTTGGTGGCTGCGCTGAGTCCCTGAAAAAGAGAAAAACAGGTGAAGGACGAGTTCTCCCTAAAATTTACCTCAGTGCTGACTGGCCAGCCATGGGGCAACAGGGGCTCTGTAGCATAATTCTGATTTTTTTTTTTTTCCCCCGCAGAGAAAATGAGTGATTCCATAGATTTTGGACAGTGCCAGTAGCTACCTGTCACTCACTTGAAGGCAAGGTACATCCTGAATGACTGTTATGAACATATGAAGTACAGCAGCTCATCCTAACTGGTTATGAAGATTAGAGTGCATTTTATTTGCATATTATTAAGACCTAACTGATGCTGGAGTGAAGTAGGGTAACAAAATGAAGACATCAAATCGTGAACTTTGTTCTCTGGACTTCTCTTTGATTTGGAAAGGAAGTCAGATGCAACTCTAGGTAAGTAAGTTGGCAGCAAAGCTTCAGATGGCTGTGAACCCTGGGAAGCATCCCCTCACATCCCCTCCTGCCACTCCAGGAGTCCTTTTCCTGCCAGCCTGCTCTGGTGAGTCAGCTGTGACCTGTGTGTTACAGATCCCTGTGGCAGCAATGGGAACAGCTGCTCCAAGAGCAAGGCAGTAGAAGATGTAGCAGAGTTGCAGGTCAGCCCAGGAGCCTTCCAGAGCAGAGGGAACTGGGGCTTCCAACAGACAGGATCTACTGAGGCACCTGGTGCCTGCTTGTAAAACTTCCAGCTACCCTTCACTTCCCTGCTATGAATATTTAGTGGTGTACTGAGAACACTGGGAGGCTGGTGCTTCTTATCAGGCTCCTGTGATATCTCAGTAGAGCTGGGCTTGAAGAAAGGTGTCTTTAGCTGCAGAATCACCATGTTACAGGAAAGCTCCCTGGCATGTGCTGCACCCGAAGAACTTTTTTGTATGTACTGTATTTTTGTCATCTTGAGACGTCAGTGGCAATGTACAGGCTTCTACAGAAAGTAAAATGCATTTTGGAACAATTATGCCTGGTGACCCAGCTAAGGCCTCACTGAGGGACTCCTTGCCCTTTGTCAGGTGTGTGCAACACTGAACCCCCTCCCAGTGCACCAAGGGACTGGAGGTGCTGAGCAGCCTGTGCTCTGTGCCATAGCGAGGGGCCCTGAACCACTGATGCCTTGAGTTACAACAGCTGCTTGGCAACCTGAAGGTTTCCATTTAAGCACTAAACAGTTTGGAGGCAGAACTCTGTGCATCGTCTGCCACAGTCAAAAGGTGCTTCTCCGAGGTGCAGGACCATGGAAATGGTTCCTACGAGGGCAGCAGGTGCGTTTGGAATGTGCAGCCACTTTATCAAAGTGCCATCAGTGTGGTCTTTGCCCTGAATCTCAGAAACTGCCCTCAGAAAGATGCTTTGAAAGCTCTGTTCCATCACATCCCACTGACAGTGCAGTTGGACATGTAACTACAGGCTACAATTAACCCATGAAGACAGATGAGGGGAGCAGCTGCTGGACGTGTTACCTACCTGGTAGACACCTTCATTGCCTTTGCCTCGCCGCCTCTGCTGCTATGGGAAAGAAAAACAAGCACAGATTAATGGGTGTTTTTCCTTATCATGCAAAAATAAAGAACCCCCTGACTTCCCCCGTCCTGTACTGAGGGTTGGCAGCTGTGCTTGGCCTGGACCTGCTCTTCACAAAAGGGAAAACACCTGCTGAGTCTGGACCAGCCCAGACATGCTGCAAGGGCTCTGAAGGAGAAAATAGGGTTGGAAGTAAAAGGAAATTATTTTGGTTTGCTGACATATTTTCCTGTCATACTGTTACAATGCTGCTATTCCTTTGATTTATCAGATGTATAGAGATTTGGAGGCATTCCTATAGACACTGACTATTTAGTATTAGACTATCAAAAACATGTGGCAAGGAGTAGTGCCTGCTACAGTTACAATTGCAGCAACCTCTTAAATGATCATATATCTAGAATGGGACACGGGTTTTGGTGTTCTCATCCCTCCAGGAACAGAAACATTCATAAAAACACAGTGCAACTTTATAGACCCATAGCTCATGAACAGAGCTTGACTATGGCAAAGGGGCATCAGAACATAAAAGGGGAGGGGATTAAATGTCAGTGTTACTTCAGCATTTCTCAGCACTAAACCTTGCTTTGAAATGCCCCTTTTTTCATGTTTCAGGAGGAAATGAAAGGTTATATATATATATATATATATATGACATTTTGACATAATATAGAACCTCTGTAGGTCAGAGCAATTTTTCATGTTGCCATAAACAAGTGTCCCCAGATGGTTTGTTTTCAACACAAGCTCCCCTCCCCCAGCAGTTTGTACACAGAGCAAAACCTGTCCATTTGCTGTAGCTGGAGATACGACTGGTGTGTACCTTCCTAAATGTTTGAGAGGGGAGCTGGGGGAAGGAGAATGTGTCCCCCGTTCCTTATCTGAAGGCAGGCCCGAGGAGGAGCTCACACGTGGTTTCCTGTGCCTGTAATGCCATCCAGGCTCAGCATGGATGTTCCCCCCATGGAGGGGGAATGGTGAACCTCCAGCTCCAAATTGCTCTGGAGGAACATGCTCAGCTACTGCGAGTTGCTGGGCCACAGACATTGCAGCACTTGACAACAGACACTCCTTCAGCTACTCCTCACCCATCTCAGGCCCTCTGCCCACTCAGCCAGGGCAGCCAGCAGAGTTTTCTGTCCAAAAGTTGGAATGTTTTCTGCTGACGTTATTCAGCGCACCCGGGGACGCTGCTGGCGTTTGTAATGCCAGTGGGACAAAGCTGCCTGATCTCCACCTGGGTTTATGGCTTTTCTAAGACCAGAGCTACGTGTCTGTCCTGCTGCTGCACTGAAATGGTTACTACAGGAAACCGCTCCCAGCTGTGCCTGTAGGTGCTGTGCAACAAGGACACTGCCCATGCAAGGGGCTGTGTGCAGCCAGGACTGCTGCTCTGTAAGGGAGCAGCAATGAAAGATTTTTCATCCTGGGAAAAATTTCACCAGGAAGGAAATTAAAACTCACCTCTCCCTTCATTCTGATTTCGCTGTATGCCTCACCCATCTTGTCCTTCTGCAGTGCCTGCAAGCAGAGAGGGGGAAAGAGTCAGCTTGTTTCTAGAAAAGCCAAGTCAACCCCTGGGTGACCACACTCCAAGCCTCTACTTCTGGGGCTGCTTTGCCTTCAAAACTTCAGTCTATTCCAGAGAAGAAGGGATAGCAGTGGGACTTGTCTGATGTGCAGGTAAATAGATGCTATATGTGATGAAATCTGTGTAGCATATCAATACCATCTCATCTCCAAACACTTGAATATATCTCTGCTCTCAGCCAAGTCATTTATCTATATGAGTACCAGACACTACAACCAAAGCTCCCCAAAGTAAAGCTTTAAGAAGCAGCATTTGTTCAGGAGACAAACCCAACCATGAGGCTCAGGCCCAGAGAAAAGGGAATTCTTCACACTGCAGGGTGAAGATTAAGAAAAAGGAGCTCTTCCTTTCTTCCTCCATCTGGGGAAGCAGTTCCCAAACACTTACAAACAAGCTGTGATTAGTGTCTGACTCAATAATGATGGAGGCCAGCCTTGGAAACAAGGCAAGAACACCCAGAAAGACCTGAGTTAAGACATGGTCATTAACATTAATGTATCAACCCTTTGGAGCACAGACCACCACATCTAGCTAAAGTCAAATCAATTAAAGAGCTTCCTAAGAGGTTCCTAAGCAGCCACTCTTAGATGCACTCGCACTTGGCCTTTGCCAGAGAGCAGTCACAGAGGCTGGAGAACAAGCACATAAAATACTGCAGCACTGATGACATGGGATAAAGGTTGGTTAGTCACTAATGGCTAACATGAAGGGATAAGCAGGTGTCTTGATCCAAATTCTTTTCCACATCTCCCCAGACAGTCAGTGTTTTTCTCTTATCACAGAGATGAGAGCAGAAATTTTCTAGCCAAAAAAAAAAAAAAAGGCTTGGGGGGGATTTTTTGTGTAAGAGGAGAAGTCTTGGAAAGCAGCTGTTAAATTTGAACCAAAGCTGAAATTGGATAGAGGGGGAAAAGGTCTCCCATGAAACAGAAACTCTTCTTTCCAACCACCCCTCCAGCGCTCTCTACTCACACTGTAGACAGTTTCCTGGGGATTCTTTCTTCTCTGCTGCAAAACAAAAGAAGAATGTTGCCCACAAGCTGCACCACCAGCATCCCCCTCCGCTTTGTAAGTGCCTGTGCATTTGCTCTATGGCACAGCTATGGCTCTGTGGACTTGCCCTGCCCATCACAGCCCATCTTGCCTCCCCCCACAAGGCTCTGTTCGGGCAACTTGTTCTCTGGAAAACTGATTTCCTTTTAATAACTGGTAAAACTTAGTTCTTCTCTGCTCAGTCCCTACCGCTGTCACCTGCGGGCAAGCCCTTACACACCGATGCAGGAGGTTTTTCCCTCCCTTTTTCCTTTGAAAGCAATGGGCTCTGTAGCAGAAACGATTGTTTGGGCCGCTGCTCCACTTCGTGGGCCCTTGTTCGGCGGCAGCACATGCAGCGAGCTCTGGTGGAACACCCACCGCTGCCTCGCCCGCTCCGCATCCGCCCCGGGCTGGGTGTCACTTCCTACCCCGGCTGGCTGCAAGAGCTCTCAGCAAAGAGACCAAAGGGCAGGGGGAGGTTTGCTCCTCTCCCCCTGCTCGCTGCCAGCTCCCCAGTTACGACGCGGATCGTGTCGTTCCCTCTCCAGGAAGGCACCTTGTGCTCAGCAAAGGCGCGGTGAGCGCCTGGGTGTCTGAACCGCGGTTACATGAGAGATGGAAGGGACCAGATTAGAGGGAAGAAGGGGCACGTGTGGGAGGAGGTTACCTGGTGTCTCCCGCCCAGCTCAGGGTCTGCACCTCGCTTCGCCCCCAGAACATCGTAGTCATCTCGGTGCCCACGAGTCAGCTTCTGAAACAAGGAAGCAAGAAGCTCGTTATCATGGACGTGATAACGAGGTAATAGATCTCAACACAGGAAAGAAAGGGAACCCAGCTTGGATCACAAGTACTGTAGCTGAGCTAGAAAGTAATTTTACTCCTTATTGCAACTGTAAACAAAAACATCTACAACTAAGCCATGGAAATGACTAACAGTGGTCTGTGCAGCACAAAAGTGCAAGCTGTTGCATCAAGAACCTTTCTTAAGTAGAAATGAGTTGAAAATCAGAGAGTGTGAGGAGGAGGGACTGACTTTCATGCTTTCTCTGCCACTGGAGAGTGAAGATCCATGAGCTTTGTTTTTCTTGCAGGGCAGTTCATCTAAATCTGCATCAAGACGCTGCAGGAATTTTATGGCCAACACAATTCTCAGCTGGGAATGGTTACCTTAGACCAGGGCAAAGGAGGGATTTCAGGTCAGCATAACACAGCTGACAGAGTGCTACTGAAAAGGTGACAGGCTACACTTAAACTGAAAAATATTACATTAGTGTTCATACATTACACAGTTAAACAGAACTCACAGCAGGATGTGGCTATGGCCAAAAGCCTGAGAAAAAAAAAAAATTAAAATCAAAAGACAACTAGACATAGCAAAACTAGCTAGTGTTTAATGCTGCCATGAGTGAGCAATTTAGTTAGGAAAGACAGGCAGGATCTTAGCTCTGTCCTCTTTCAAGTCAGGAACATACAGCCCAAATATCCATGTACCATCTGGCCAGATTGGTGACAGCAGAAGCTACCCCTGTGAGGTTTTATCTTTCCTCTTGTACAGCCTACTCATTAGCTGGATCATCCGAAGTTTTTCTAACCCACAGGCAATTCACTATTTTATAAGTGCCCAAAAAGGTCTGTCTGGGTAACAGATTTAGAAACAAAGACCAGCAGTTACTTACATTGTACGTGTCATCCTGGCCTGGTCTCAGCTGTGGTTCAGAGGCCTGGCTAAGCTGGAAGAGAGACCAAACCATGAGCAGAGAGACAGTGGCTCCCTTCAGTCCTTTCATTCTCTCTCTCCTACGAGTTACTCTCATCAGAAACAGGGCAACTCTATGGCACTGATGGGGCTACAGGCAGTACAAGCCACTGCTGCACTGGCACTTTTGTCCCCACACCAGGTTGCTCTCAGCAGTCAAGTCATTTTACTTGCACATAACACCAGTTCGCAGGTCAAGACACCTGGGTTTGTTCCCTGCATTCCCCCCCTCAGATTTTGTTCCTGCCACGGTCCTGTGCCATCAAAAGTAGCTCCACCAGGCTATAAAATCACGGCTGCAAGCCTGTGTTAAGGAAAACTGGTTGTCTGGGGTTGCTGCTGAGCATAAGCACTCCCAGCACCCAAGTCCTCCAGCAAAAGTGCTGCCTGCAGAGTTCCTGGCGTCCTGCTGGGAATCACTGCTCCCCTCAGCAGCAGCACCTGTGGTGCCATCACAGTGGCATGAGTGGTGACTAACCAGTGGGTAAAGGATTTCCCTTCTGTAGCTACTCTGGTTCAGCTGCTCACACTATTTATGGGCAGCCAATTGCTGAGCCAAACTTTCAGGTAAAAAGGTGCAGTTTTAGGGCAGTGAGAGCAGCTACTCTGTGTTCTAGTCTTTTTAAAAAAAACCCATCAAACTACATTCTGTATTGCTTTAGCCTTCTTGACTTATTATCACGTGTTAAATTTTGATTAAAAGTAATTCTCTAGCTATGTTTATATTCAGGCATAGAATCACGTTTGTGGCAATTACAAACTCCTCTTCCGTGGTTGTTTGGGTTCTATCATCTGCATCATCATGCTCATACTACCAAAGATGTCTGAATTATTGAGGCATTTTAATACATCCTTCACAAGCTTGTCATCTATCCTGAACTTTCTGTATATCCCTTTCCAGTGACAAAGTAGCAGAAAATATCCACATCACACTTGATCAGGCATTTCCAAGGTACAATATCCAGAATCTCTGATGGCACCCATAACTGTAGCATCAAAACACTCTCATATACTCTTCATCTCCATTCATGAACCTTTGGAAAGAGCTTTCCCCAGGTTGCTCAAGTGGACACCAGAAACAGAGGAAAGTTTAAAACAAACAAACAAACAAATGAAAACAAAACCAGAAAAAAAAAAAAGGAGAGAGAAAATAAAATAAAAATGTCTCATTCTAAGAGACATGCTTCCTCTCCACTCCCACTTTCCAGACCAGCCCAACTAGTTTGCACCAGCAAAGCCATCTGTGTTTGGTTAGACTGACCTTGGCTTTCACAAACAGAGCTGTCATGACGACTGCGTAGAGGAAGAGGAATCCATCCAGTAAGTAGCAGAGTCTGGGATCTGTCAGTCCAAGAACTGATGTAGCATCTGTACAAAAACATCAGATACATCAACAAACAAGGCCATTGGTACCACTCGGTGCTTGAAGGTATAAATGTGGTAGTGCTGCATAGCTCTTCTTGAAAAAGTAGCCAATATGAGGGCAACACTGTCCCTTTGCAAAGGAGATGGAATTCGGAAGATAAGAATCCTGGGATTAATCAGGTAGAAAAGGACCATGGGAAGTCCAACCCTCTCTCTAAACAGGGTGAGTTAGACCAAGGGTTGCTAACACTGCAGTTACTGCAAGAAAGCCCCACACAGAGCATCTATTTTCTGGCTTCTTTTATATTTCTGAAAAGAATCTCCTGCAGGGATTCATTACCGGTTGGGGATTCCTTTATCAACTAACACTTGAGTGTGTGTGAGAAAATAACATCTGTTTGGAAAAAAGTTGTATGGAAGAGCTTCTTAGGAAAAAAGATTTGTGTTAAATGTAAAGAGAGACTGACACTATCGTATTCAGTGGGAGACTCAGGCTGAAATCACTACTCTGCTTTATTTAGAAGATCTCCTACTACCCTAATTGAGATCTTGATGTTCATTTACTCATCCATTTTGCATATATTTATATGTCAAAACAGTAACACTGTTGGGTTTTAGCAGCTAAATCTGAGGAAACTGCCCATGTATCAGTTTGTAAACATGTAGCAAGTTCACAAAGTATAGTTAAAAAAATCAAAGCCTAACTAACTAGAAATCCAATATGCAGCTCCGGGTCCATCCCCAAAAGGAAAAGCTGTTACTTAAAAAGGAAATAAAATTACTTAGTAATTAATCTGAGTTGTGCTTTTTGCAAAAAATTCAAGGGAGTTAAAAAGAGAAAGACAAAAATGATCAATAGCCTGTGAAGCCCTTTGATGAAGATAAATTGAAAAGAACAGGTGTGATTCATCTCCTTCCTAAGGTGAACAAAGCGTGGCAATTCTTATTAACCACAGGTGATGGAGGGTAGTTGAACTACCCAGTGCTGAGTTACTGCAGTGCTCCATTCCACAGGCTGGGATTTCTCCCCAGCCCTTCGGGTCACCCCGATGACTCCTTCAGAGGACATTTGCAGATGACATTCAGGTGTCACACACACACCACCACGAGGAAAGTCTCCTTAGCAGAGATGTAGTTAATGGTGGTGGCCTGTTGCATTGCTCAAGTGTGCACTCTGATTAAAGCTTGACTGAAAAGCCATGCCTGGATACTTGGCAGCGTAATTATAAATTCTCAAGCAGGTGATGATACAATCAGTGTTCCCACTGACAGCCTAACACAGCCAGGAAAAAAAAAAAAAACAAATTCAAAAATTCCAAAGAGTAGATTTGTTTGCTTGTATGAACTAGGAGTTCACATTCATTTTTTTAAACAAATAGGATTAAATTCCTAGATGGTTTCTCTTCTCCCCATCTCTTTTTCTGTTATTTAAAAAATATAGTTCGTAGCACTTTACAAACAATAACCTTCACCACATTTCTTCAGGATTATAGAATTTCACATACATGGGAGAAATAAAGACAGAGAGATTGTTATTTGCCCAACATTGTATATTAAACCAACAAACAAGCTGAGGTGAACTTCCCGGAGTTTTTCTTCACAGGGCAATATTTTACACCAGAGTTGGTTCAACATAAAATCAGCCTGAATCACATTTGACTTGGTAGGTGAAATGCAACATTAGGGAATAAAGCTCTGCAACACCCAGAGGCAATTTGTTTCTAGCTGCTTCTCCATAGTGCAGCAGTCTGCCCAGCGTGCCCTGGCCTTGAGCTGGATGTGTCCAGAACACTTCCAGGGATGGTTCCTCCTCCCTTGGGAACCTGTTCCAATGCTTAACCACCCTTTCAGTGAAGAAATTTTTCCTGATATCCAACCTGAAGCTTCCCTGGCACAACTTGAAGCTACTTCCCCTCATCCTATCTGTTAGTTCGTGTCATTTCTTTCCTTAATATGTTTAACCTCTGCATTCTTTAAAAGAAAAAAAAAAAGAAGAAGAAAGAAAAGTACAGAGCACTTTCTAAATAATAAACTTTGCAGCAGGTTTCTGGAGTAGAAAGTGAGAGAGAAAAAGACAGAAGATACAAAGCCTGTTGAAACAAAGGTCTAAGGGAGATAGGAAGCATAGTGAACAAGTAGCAGTTAAACCAGTGAACATCCATTCACATAAACAGGACCAGACTGGGTTTTTAAATAGCTAGAGGAGAGGTTTACTGCTTATCCAGTATTTGCACAACATGCACAAACAGGTCCTTTGGGCACCACCAAAATGTATGTTCTGTCTCTCATCAGCCCTGAGCCGTGGCTTGAGCGGCTGAGGCCAAGGCTGCAGCACTGCAAGGGATTGGAGCTGGGCAGAGCCAAAGCTGCCAGGGTGGAGGGAGCAGTCACACTCAGATGCCTCACACAGAGCAAAGCACAAATCATAAACATTTCACTGATAATTCCCACTTTTTTAACCTCACAGATTACCCAGTGCCTACTGGAAGTCGCACAGCATCTTTCCTGTAGTAATGTATCAGTGTTTCACCAGTCCAAATTTCAGCAGTCCAGTGAAATACAGAAGGGTTTTAAAGCGAGATGTCTAAATACAGGCACAGAACAGGGCTAATGTCAGGTCACAGGCCGGCAAGGAATGGGAACCTTGCATGAGAAATGATGACAAACTCACTGCTTAAAATGCCTCAGTCAAACAGCATCTCTGTCTCCTGATATCCAAAAGCAGCTGAGGTACAAGTCGATGCCTGGGTGCACGAATACACAAGGGTTCGAGGATGAGGTCACTTGGTCAAGGGGGAAGGAATAACACTTAGAAAGTTTGCATTTACTCTTGCTCACCACGTGCTCCTCTGCAAGGAGCTGCACAGTTCTAGTGCCCGTTGCATGGCAGGGATGACATTTACTGGGAGACCATGTGGATGTTAAGGACAAAAAGAAATAAACTTATGCAACTTACTGCATTTGGTAATTACTTTTTTTTTTAGGAGTCTGTGCAGGAGAAGCTCTGGAAAGCTTTGGACAAGGAGCTGACACAGCCTGGGTAGGGATATGCAGAGCCATGGCAGATGAAATGGCAGAAAAGGAGATGGAGTCAATAAGTGGAGCTGCATTTCATGACCAGCTTGCCAGCCCTTCTCAGTCCCAGTTGCCTGCCAGTACATTTGGAATTCCTTCACGAGTTGTGCTTCTGCTGCTGAGAAGTTTCTTCCCAGCACTTCCTCCTTCCAAAGCCTGGTCTTCTGCTCCCCTCCTCTTCTCTGCTCCCACCCAGCAGTGCAACCCTGCTCTCCCCTGTGCCCAGGCACTCTCTCCTGCTGCTTTAGGTCCCTGCACTCACATATCTGGACCCCAGGCTGTCATCTCCCTCATCCTGCTCCACACTCACACCTCTAAAGCAGCTCTGCCAGCACCTCTACAACAAACCTCTGCGGCCTTTTACTTTTTAAAGTACGGTGGTGGGGAGGGAGAAAAGAAAAGGTCATTCAGACCAAGTGCTGCTGACAAGAAGGTAAGAAAAAAACCCTCCATCAAGACCCCAGCAGCAGCAACCCTACCAGCTGAAGGAGAGGAAGCCCTGGGGCCGAGGAGGGAGGCCGTGCTGCGGGCGTCCGCCTCGAGAGCCCTTCGTGGCAGCTCACCCAGTGCTGTGGTTTTGGAGAGCAGCTTCAGCCCCCCAGGCTCGGGCCCAGCAACAGCCTTCCTGCACGTGGCCCTGGGTTTGTCTCCAGCCACCTGCCCACCTTCTGCCTGCCTGCGCTGCCGGCAGCCCCTTGCTCCAGACTGGGACACAGCTGGGGAGTCCCAGCACCTCCATCCAGGCCCATCCACGCTGCTCCTCAACGTGCACGAGGCAGGGAGGCTGCACACCAGAGCTGCCCCTCACTGCTGGCTCAGTGCACGGGGTTCACCCTGAAAAGAATCACTGAAACATGGCCTGGACCCTTGAAACGTGCCAGCACATTGCTTTTTAATAGGATTTTCCTCCTCTGACGTTTTTAGTGCGCATCTGGATTGAGTTAGACCGTGGTTCCTGGTAATAGTTTAAGAAATACAGACCGTAAAAGCTGAACTACTTGTAAATCCAGATTAAATCTGTCCACCATAAAATTTTCTCTCTCCCAGGGCCCTCATTAAATGATTCATTTAAGAGTTTTACTTTTAGGGGTTACCAAAATTCAGTAACATGGCTATAAATGAAGCGTTTTATCTTCCCCAAAACTGAGTTTCTCAGTAAAGCCCGTGAAAACCAATCCCAGCACAAGAGATTTATTGATGCAGCTGTGGTTACATTCAAAGGCAGATCCTGCAGTGCCTTCTCCCAACAACCAAGAGCTCCCACAGCTACATACCAGAGCAAAACAGGCAGCGTTTCTCTGATGCCACCATCGGACAGCCCAGCCCAAATGTCTGAAAGTTAGCCAGCTAGAATTATGGAAGATAATCCTGTTCATAAGGAATGTAGCTATCCTGGGTTTTATTTATATATTTCTATGGGTTTTTTTACTTGTAGATATAAATAACAAACAAACCTGGGACAGTCCAAGACTGAAGAAGCAGAGGTCAAATCCTCCTTCACTCGCAGAAGGAAGAGGCTCCTCCACCATTGTTTGGGCACACTGATGGAAAAATCTGAGCAAAAACAACTGAGGGAAGAAAAAACCTGGATTACACCAGGCATGGTGTATTAACAGCTCTGATGTTCGTGATAGCCAGTCATGAGAAATAAGTGAATGGAAAGGTGTCCCTTGCATCAAACCCAGTGTGTGGAGTCAGGAGGCTCCTCACTTCATGCAGGGACCAAAGGTAGTCCTGCTGCTGGTCATTAAATTATATTAAGATTACAGGGTCAAATAAGACTTTCAGCTTAAAACTTCTCCACTACCATATCTGCAAAACCAAGACACCGAAGGAAACGCAGCAGGAAGATGCAATAACTCCACCACAGCAAAATGGCATTGAACTGGCTGCCTGAAAAAATGTCCAGCCACTTGCTTTTTCAATAA